CATCCAAAGGGGTAAAAGTGCCATGTCTGACCCCAAAATTTCCATAAAAAAAACTGTTGTTTTAAAGAACTGAATTTTATTTATTTATTTATTTATTTATTTATTTATTTATTTATTTATTTATTTAATAAAAGTCCGTTAGGAGCTAAAATTAAAAAAAAAATGTGTAATTTACATTTCAGATTTTTATTTTAGGTGGCCAAAAACCGTAAACAGTATTTTTCAGCATTTATGACTGATTTGTACTGTAAAGAACAGTCATGTCATAAAGTTAAAGGACAGTTTGAGGTGTGGGTTTGGATGAAGCTCTGAGACAAACTGTCTTTACTTTGTGTCCATGAGAGACGCAGCAGAAAACATGAAGTAATTTTTAAATGACCAGCTGTTGAGAAGTCAATGCTCCATCTTCACCTCTGTTCAGGTAAAAGGAAACAGTGGTGTCTTGCTCAGCCTGCGTTTGGTTTATACGTGTTTGTTCTGTAATCCTCAGTAAGCGTTTAAATAATCACTGCTGTCTTTTCCAGCCTCACACCATGGAGAGTTTTTAGTGGGCTCAGATAAACGAACAATATGTTTGGATTGTTAGAGACTAGCGTTAAAGTGTGAACATGCACACAGGGAAATCCTTGGCTGCTGCTTTTTTTCCCTTCTTTTTATGAGAATGGTTGGAAGCAGAATTAACAGTGCTTTGCAAGAAGAATGACCTATATTCAGACTGCAGCTTAAACTTCAAAAAGACCCCCTCAAAATAAGCTGTCAGGCCTTGAAGCTTTCCATCAAGTCCTCTCRGTTTTGAAATAGACATTTCTCTCTTTTTTTTTTTATCTTGGAGGTGTACCGGACCAGAAAGAAGAGGTGAGCTGAGTTGCTCTCAAAGCTCTTTAAAATGTTTGTCAGTGTGAAGTTCCCAGGGTCTCCTCTGCCTCACTGAAAGGATCGGTTTTCTGGCATTTTCCACTCTGTTCACCTCACTGCATTTCCCCAGAGGAAGTGAGACACTGGCTCCTTAATAACACTCCTCTTCTTTTTATTAAAGGATTATGTAGCTGTAGAATGGCCTTATCATAGACTAAGACTGCTACATTGCCTTAACATCCTGCAGTATCTATCCTGTGGACATTAACTGGAAGGTCGGGGGGCTRTGTGGTGGTGGTACCTGCTCTTTTCAAGGTATTTTTGTCTCAATAAAACCAAATCAAGCAGAACATTCTTTAAAAAACCTTATTTCAAAGGTGTGTGATGTTTGACCTTGTAGTGTAGGGTAGTGGAGCATTTTTCTGCAGAAAGTCATTTTTATTCTTCGTAGTGTGTTGCACTGTGGATGTTCCTGGGTGGAAAACGGTGTCAACACCAGTCAGTAACAGCACCTGTCTTTTGGGAMTATAAATGAGCGTCATCAGCGTCTCAGTCCAACTTAATTTGCTTTCCAGAGACCGTATAGCATCGGAGTTCACTGCAAAACCCGCCTCCTGCTGCTCCTAATTAATACTCAGAGAGGCAGAAGACTCAAACCTTAAATTAACTTCAAAATCTCCTGAGCAGGTACTTGTTTCCACTGTGGCTTTAAAGGTCAAATGTGACATTTTAATGAAAAAAAAAATAGTCTGAGTAACAAAGCCTGAGTTGTGTAAATTCCTCAGCAGACACCAGCACAGTGGATGTTTGATTTAAAGCTGATTAGTATTCCTTTAAGTTGGACCTGGCCTCCTTCATGCAGTTAGAGTGGATTAAACATAAACTAACGTAGAGCGTACGTATAGAGCGGTTTCTGCTTGTCGCTCATCACTGGGTTTACAACAACAACGGTCCAAGTGTTCTGCAAACTGAGCTGTCCTTCACAGTTCAGCTTTTCAGGATCTGCTACATCTGGTCCCTTCGACTGCAGCAGCTCGATGAGAATAGAGTCGTCCGAGCTTTTCCTGCAGCTGACCTGTGACTGAGTCACGGCACGAGTCGGTCGCGCCACAGTTGGAAGAGYGCAGCAGTAGTGAAGCATTGTACGCTGGGTTAGAGGAGTGTTGTGTGTTTTTTCCCCAGTGTGCGGCAAAGAGCCGTTCCGTGTCAGAGGTGAGCCGAGTGAATGGGCTGAGGGACCCACAACCCCTTCACAGCTGGGGGGGGGGGGAACCTTCCACTATCAAGAGCACTGAGGCAGAAGGCCTCAAGCTTAGCAAGCAGGGGGCTAAAGGCTTTGTCTCTGCTCCACTGCCTTCAAGGAGCCCCGAGATTCCTGGCAACCAGGTCGGAGCGTTGGGGCCTCCACGCAGAGAGTGGGGGGCAACACAAAAGCACTTGTATTCGTCAGCTGATGTGCAACATCACAACTCACAGTTGGAGACAAACTTGACTGTAGATGGGTTAGTTTGGAGGGGGTGGGGGGGGTTCCCCGGGGGGGTTCCCCAGTTCAAAGCAGCCCCAATATATTTATTTAATTATTTAAGATTCATGATTTTTGAAATTAGAGCAATGTTCATTAATGTTTTTGTTCATCCAGTTTTTTTTTTACTTTATACGTATTTCATGATGTGGCATTGTGTTTATTTTTTTTTCCCAATGGAAAAAGTACTGGAAAAACAGTTAACGTACATGTTACGATACCTAAATCATTTAAATAAATAAATACACCAAAAAAATTAACTACTGAAACAAGCCCAATCCCACCCTTTCAGAATAAAGGACACTTTAATTTTTTTTCACTCTGTAGTATCTTTAGAAAACTCAAGTTAGGAGCTACCTGACCTAAAGGCTTTATATACAGATTCATTTAACAATGCGATATACTTGGTTAATTAAAAAGGTTAGAGAGATGTTTGGTTAGCATGGTTAGGTATCATGTATGGCTGGTATCAAAACAGTCATGGAAGTTTGTGGCTCACCAGGTCTTTGTAATGATAATTACTGTAGTTTAGAAACTATAGGGTAATGAGGTCAGGTTAGTTATGTATGTCAAGATTGCATTCCAAGTAAAGTAAAATTTGTCTATGTCTCTCATGAGTATTTAATCTTTTCTAACTGGATAAAAATCATGAGATCACTAATCCACATATAAATGCACATAGATTGTGCTTTTTAATTGCTAAACTGTTCAAAACAAAACAACAGGTGGTCTCATATTTCCGAGATAGGATGTAGAACAGGTAAAAGTTTAACATAAGATGATCCAGTTATCTGACAGGATTAACCTGCTCTGCAGATGATTCAGAAGTAGGGTTCTATGAAAAGGTCATGAACGGTTTATCTGTTGTACAGATTTCTTTTTACAGCCCTAGTTTGGAACAAATAGACTTTAAACTGACTGACAAGCTGTTAGACCACCGATGGATTGAGGCCTTCTTAAAATAACTTTGTAGTGATGTAAAGAATGACAACCTTTTCGACACATTACCTTCAGGATTTTACTGTTCATAGGGATATTTTAATGTTGCAGGATCACAGTTAAATCTGCAAGCTGAGCATCATCAGACAGGCAAACCATGTTCATCACAAATTTAATTTCTAAACACTGACGTGCATGTAAAGATGTACAGCTGAGCAGTGGCGGGATGTTAAGTACATTTTTCATGTATCTGTATTTAAGTAGTTTTAATCATGGGTACTTTTGACTTTTACTCCACTACATTTTACATTATCTGTATTTTCTACTCCACTACATTACTGTAATGTGTTGAAGTACAAGTTACGTTCATGTCACAGTATGATTTTTGATTTGTTTTAGTTTGAAAATAATCAATGGTGGGAGGGGAACTGCTTGAATTGGTCCACTGAACCACTGCAAAACAGTAAAATACCATTAGACCCTCTTTCAAGAAGAGTGGGGGGCATTCTGCATCACCTGCTGGAGCATCAGTGACAGCAACACACCCAAAAGGGATTCTACCACGGAGAGTTAGCAAGAGGAAATGATCCACTCATGGCCTTATTTAAAAGACTAATTCAAGTCAACCGGTTCAAAAAATGAGATTTGATAGAGGACAGCTTCTGTAGCTGTTGCCACAATGTGCGATGATGCACAGARGTCTAAGTGTGAACAGTGTCACAGAGGATAAACACAAAAACATGCATTATCTGCAGCATTGTTCACTAAAATGGCACCAGTGATGTATTAAAAATATACATACAGTAGGGAATACCTTTTACTTTAAGTACTTTTTAAACCAAGTACTTACTTTTACTCAGGTAAAAATGGTAATGTGGTACTTTTACCTTTACTAGATTACATATTTGTCTGTTTATCTGTACTTTTACTTAAGTACAGTTTTTGAGTATTTTCTCCACCACTGCGCATGAGTGAGCAAAGATGCTGAAGATTTGTGATTCCTAATGACCTGCTGCTGCTAAAACGTGTGTG